GTCTCATTCTTTATCGCAATATGGTAATTATTCATTACCACCGCAACGATCATTGCCAAATCGTTTTCATCAACAAAATAATAAACGACGACGTTAATAAATGAAAAAAAAATTATACCGGTAATGACTAGACCATCTAATGATCATCATGACAACATATTTACCGAAAGATCTAATCGATGCTGATTACGTATGGGTTAAAAAGGAAAACACAAAATCATTGGAGAAACCTTACGTCGTTGGCCCATTTAAAGTATTAAATCGTTATCGCAAATGGTACAAAAATTTTGACTAACAACGGTGAATAAAATGTTAGCATTAATCGATTCCACGTCCCAAATCCAATCTATTTATTATATTTGGCGATTTTCTAGTCACCCAGAATTCCGCAAGAATTCGTCGTATCTTTGTCTAATTGCTAAAATTCATCTTGAGAATAATCAATACAAAAATAATAATTGTTGTTATCGCAAGTTTGACCCAAGTTCTTCATCCTATCCAGAATTTTGTTTTTGATCTTCGTCTTATTAGAATCCAAAATCATATTATTATCTTCAAGAATATCCAAGAATACTTATAACCCATCAACATCATGATTATATTGTGAAGATGTTGCCCGGAAATTATATTTAAATCAATTTACTCTGTTTTAAATCAATAAAATTCAATTCAATATGTAAATATAACAAATTATTTATTTCAATCATTTTTTTAGTAATCAGTTAATCAGTAATTTTAATTGATAAATTAATTTCCGATTTACATACAGAACATATTAATGGAAGTTCGTCTTTTCCATCTGAAGAAAGTTGTCTTAATTGATCACAACTTGCATTGCAATTGTCGCAATATGGACGCTCTTTTATGTGACTAAAAGAATGAATTTTTAAATCTCTAGGTCTTTTATATTTTTTATCGCATTGGCCGCAATGATATGGTCGCTGATCTGTATGAGTAAAATTATGTTCTTTTAAATCGCTAATAGTTTTAAATTTTCTATCGCATTGGACGCAATGATACGGACGCAAATCTGAGTGGCGAATAGTATGTAGTTTTAAATCATTACTAGTTTTGAACTTTTTATCGCATTGGCCGCATTCAAATTTAAACGCAATTGTGTGACGTAGAGAATGTTGTCTTAAACAATCACGACTTTTAAATGTTGCATCGCATTGGCCGCA